GAGGGAGGGAGGGAGGGAGGGAGGGAGGCAGGCAGGGAGGGAAGTGAGACATGACACGGGTAGAAGAGAGAGCAGCAGAGCGTGATCGCAAAATAACCTGCTCCGCAGGTATGAGGGATCCCCTGCAAGTCTTTTGCGCGCAGCGGCGTACTGAGCGACACCGACACGACGACAAATCTCGGAAAGGTTCAAGGTTCAGCGACTACCAAAGCCATCGCAGCGTACGAGCGTGCGCGTGTGTGAGGGGGGGGGGGGGCGGCACTCGGATCATGAAATGGTAATGCGCGAACCCTTTTTGGCATTTTCGCCGCTCCCTTTTTTCGCCGCTTTAAACCTCTATGAAATTTAGAGGGCAAAAGAAGGGCGCGTAATAATTGTAACGGTATCATCCGCTTCTTTCCCTCCTTCTCTTGAAGGGAGAGACAGAAAGAGAGTGATAGAGATAGAGAGAGCAAGAGAGGTTGTTTGACTGCGGCGGCGGAGGCCGGGCCACGCAAAAGAAAAGCCAAAGAACAAAGTCTTAACTCATGGGAGCGGGCGCAGATGCCCGGTGTGCTCGCGGCCTGCGTCATGGGCTTCTTCTTGCCCGTTGTCGATACAGTAGCGATGCTGGGCCGCTATGATGGGAACGGCCCAGTGTCTTGTCCAGCAAAGGGGAAGAAGAGCGAGTGGAATCAGAAAGGGTCGGCCCCGCTCCGGCGGGCGGCGCGGCGCTGTGCGGTCCGACGGCATGGCTAGTGATGAATTCATTAGAATGTTAATTTCCTGGCCGCGGACGCGGCGGCGGCTCGTGCGGGCCGGCCGGATAGGAGCGTGCGGAGGCGGCGGAGGCGGCGGGAAAAAAAGGCAAGACCGACAGTCGTCCTTACAACGGATTCTACTTCTGCTACCGCCTGTACCAAGTTGGAGAGGGAGTTGGACGACACCCGCGTGACCTTCGGCCGCACAAAGGTCAAAGGGCACACTCGCGCACCCGGGAAGGGCGAGCAGGGCGTAGGACCCCCCACGACGGCGAGAAAGGATTAACCGCGAGTTAGGGGCGCGCGGTCAGAGCACGGCTCCGACTCCGAGTCGAGCAGGTGACACGGTGACACAGGCTTGCGGACAGTTAGTTGTCTGACCGTGAAACATTGATGGGCACTCTCCCCCCCCC